AATATACATTTTCATGTTTTATAAATTGCTCTTAACTGAAATGATTTGAAATTATTAGGATATGTATGACAGTTATATATAATGTGCTTAAGTAAAATGTTCAAGAAATAAAAACTGATAAATGAAAATTGTCTGTTCATTTATTCATTCTTTATTATGTCTTTTATAAACATCACAATACAATTTGTACATACAGTAAAATAAAAATAAGAATATAATCAAAACACTTAAATTGGGGAAGGGGATTGATGATTATGTAAGGGGAGGGGGTTTGGATCAAACTTACAAAATAATGTGATAAAAAAAACGGATTCTGACAGCTTTCAGCGATGCTGATTGGTTGATCAGTTCGGGAGCCTTCACGATTGCGTCCGGGACCGCTATGTAGTACACACCGAAAGCATTGTAGCGACAGTGTAGCGATTTTAAGGAAACCAGGTTGATCTCACAATCAGCGGTGGCGGCAGAAATTTGCTGACGGAGGGGTCCGGACCAAGGCATTTGAACATAAAAATATCATGAATTCCATTCCTATATAGGCCTATGGACAGTACATAGGTCTAAATCTGACGACTAAGAAAAAAAATTCGGCCTTGCCGCAGGACTCAAACCCAGTACCCTTTTTGTTGACTTTCTCTTCTCTAGAAGCTGAAATCACCTCTAGTTTGTGTACAAGATTTCCTGCACATCCCTTCAAATTTGGCCGATGCTGTTTTAAAGTTTGAAACTCCTGTTTAGTTTTGTAGATGTAGGGGGAGCCCCGGAGTCCAACTTAAAAAAAAAGCTACGAACGTTTGTTGGAAATCTCTAGTTTATGTGTACAAATTTTCATATAGGCCCGTTTAATACTGGCGACACTGGACGCTTTTAAAGTTTTTGTAACAAGAACAAGAACAGTTAGCAGTGAGGCCGGCTTTGGATGGAAATAGAGAGGGCGGCAGACAAATAATTTCTGTTATCTCGAAGGAAATAGAGGGCGGCAGACTGCAATTTACCTATATCAAGGCTTCTAAATTAATTACACTGCATAAAGAAAAATTATGTTGCTCTTTGTTACGGTTACGGTTCTTTAAAACATATGAAGTTTTGAATCTTCACAGTAAAAATACACCGACAATTACAATCAACATAATGTCAATTAATCGATATAAAATTCGATTAAATCTTCAATAACTGGTGAAAACGCTACGAACCGATGATAAAAAATAACGTGTGATCTTTATTAAAACATGATTGCTGCCCTCTATAATTTCCGATTATCTAAAACTTTCATGAAGTTATTTTTAGTAGTTGCTAAATACAACGGCTTCGTAGCGTTGACGTCATGCATAATTTAATCTTCTGTATATTGTTTGTCTTAATTTTGCTCCTCGAAGTGTGGGTATTGTAATAACACAGCATAGTAAAATACAGTCCGTACAACTAATTCCTCCATGGTACAACGAATTTAAGTTGTCCCTGTACTGTGTGTTTTTCTTTCCAAAACTAGGATTTCTGGAATATTATCAATTTATGGGGCCTACACAGGGTGAAATAATACATAGGCCATAATAGTTAGTCTTATTTTAGCGGTAGGAATAAGGCCATATTACAAAAAGAAATGAAAACAATTCAATGCCTATACTATGTAGGGCCTACTGCAATACTGTACTTAGTCTATGGATTTTCCAATCTTAATCCGAGTGTCTATAAACCGAAGACCGAAGACCCAAAAACGAAGACCCCTATTTTTTGTCTTTTATTTTAATGATAATAAACCAGGCAGTCACAAAATTAAAATTACGAAATTTTTTGGACGTCGGTTTGTATTTTCAAAGGTCTTCGTTTTATAGACACCCTATATGGGTGTGTTAAGATATGTGTTAGGATATGCTCTGATATTCCTATATTATTTATATTTACATATGTTATACATTACTTAGATTTAATAGTGAAACTAACAGTTATAAAGCTGAAGAAACTCTTCAATAATTTAGTGGTTACAGTTAGTGGTTTATTGATTGATGCTAAGACAGAACCCAAGAAGTCTTATATCCTGCATTCCAACATGATGATGATATCCAAATGGCTTGTGAATTAACACTTTTATTATGGCATAGTTACCAACCGTCTCGCATCGTGCGCGGGGACGGTCCCGCATTTCAAAGTGATTTTGGATGAAATACCATTTTACAAAAACACATGCGTGATCATAAATTTGCCACGCATTTAGCGCAAGTCTATGCGTGATAACGAATTCAGGGGAAAATGTATTTAAAATTAGAAGAAATTGATTTTATTAAATATAGGTCATGCAGTAGCTTACGTCAATAGAGAACTTTCGTTATCTCGTTCGAGAATCAATTCAGCAGGGAAACTTTCTCTTTCCCCACCAAAATAACCCAGCCAACCACGCACTTAGTAGAATTAGTAGAGGATCTGACTAAGATTTGTATGCACTTAATTTAGGAGAGAACATCTCAACTATTATAGACTAATATGAACCCTAGGAACAACATGGGATGTGTGCTAAAATCTCTATCCGGGACGAACAGCCCGAAAATGACCACACCCATTTTAAATGGACACGCCCCCTTTTTCATTGGAAATGCTACTTTAAACAGTAGGCTAGACATTATGAATATATTAGGGAAAAAAGGTTTTTCTTTTATGAAAGAACACATATGATGAGGGGATCAAATTTCGGAAATCTCACCTTAATCACAAGTCCCGTTCATGTGGAAATTAGCTTAAATATGCAAAATAGGGGTAACACCCTTTTTTCGGGAAGTGCTACCTTAAATAGTAGACTAGACAATCTGAACATATTGCAAACAAGAGTTTTTCTTTGATAAATGGAACATATATGATGAGGGGATAACATTTCAGAAATCACACTGGTCACATGTCCTGTTTATATGAAAATTGGCTTAAATATGCAAAAAAAATATAATGGCCTCGTCACTTGTTAATTGGAAGTGTTACTTTTAAACAGAGACTAGTCATTATGATCATATTTAAAACAAGGATTTTGTTTTATAAATGAGCACATATGATGAGGGGATCAATTATCAAAGTCACACCTTAATCACAAGAAGACCCGAAAAACGAAGAAAGGTCCACATTTTTTTTTCTTAATCGTGACGAAAATAATTTTTAAAATCATTTCTCTAGCACATTATTGCCTGAATCTGAGTCAATTTAATGTTATTCTAGTGGAGGTCTTCATTTTTGTGGTCTTTGGTCTTCATTTTGTAGACACCCTTACATCTTATGAATGAGAAGAATGCAATGTTGTATGAAGGTCTTGACAAAGAAGAATGATGTCTTAACTAAAAAAAATATATACAGGTCTATATATAAATAAATAAATAAAACTTAAAAAATGAATAATAAAAATGAATAATGAAAATATAATTTTAAAAAATCAGAAATAGTATATTCCTGATTCATTGAATCGTTTTGGGTATACTTTACAAAACATACAAGGTTGATTAAACGTAAAGGAACGCCATTCAAATTTTAAATAAAATTTCCAATCCTCCTCCTTTTTTCTAATTTAAGGAAATTGATACATTTTTGTTCCTTTGTTGGATCGATTGCGGCAACCCCAAACCGAACATAACGGTATTTCACATATAGCGTTAATCATCTATCATAACTGCTAACTTCCTATCCTATCGCGTTAGTTTGTAGCTGGCCAATGTTTTGTTTAGGTGGCCAAGAGGTGACAACATGGCCGGTTAAGGCCAAACCAAGGCTACCGGCACCCAGGCTATCATCACAAGTCTGTGCGTGATAAAAATTTATTACAAATTCAGGGAAAAAAACCCGAAAGGTCCACATTAATCTCAGATAAGACAGTATAATACACTCCAAGTATCGAAAATGCACGCCATCGTGTCGTCGGGATTCAATATTTCGACATTAAATGTCATCATCAGGAATTGATTCAAATTAGATATATATCCACAATTACTAGCCAATAGAAAAATGTGGGAATCGAACACACAACCTCCAGATTATCTAGCCAGATAGAAATTACACATGGTTATGGGGGGTCAAAAGTAAAGAAAAACTTAAATATTCAAAATAAATGTTATTAATAAATACTTTATATTCTTATGAAATATTCAAAATAAATATTATGAATGAATATTGTTTTAAGTCCCATAAAAATCATGTTAAAAAAAATAGATTATAAAAATATTCAAATTAAATATCACCAATTACTGGCCAATGAAAAAATTTAAAAAAAATGGTTCGTGTGGGAATCGAACACATGACCTCCGGATTATCTAGCCAGATGGAAATTACTACAAATGCTATTAAGATGTGAGTTTGCCTCAGGAAATATCATAAGTGTGAAGAAAAAAAATGTTTGATATTTATGTGAACTCACAGGTTTGCCCTCTGGGATTGATGTGAGGTTTTTATGCTAAATAAATAAAATATAATATGTCCTACAGTCGATTCTAGAGATACATTATATTGCTGCCCTGGGTATTTCAGAGATAAGGAAATGTATGATTAATCTCATAAAAACATTTTTACAAGCTTTGGGCCCGGGTCGGCAGATCCACCCCTCCCCTCCCCTTTTATTCAGCCAATAGATATAATGATGTGTACTACAGTCAATTTAAGAGACACACTATATTGTTGCCCTGGGTATTTCTGAGATAAGAAAATGTATGATTATAGCACGTCTAGATGGCCGAAAATGGCACTCACAAAACTTAAAATCGTGAACATAATTATCCGATTCTTTTATCTCCCTTTCAACATTTTTTGACAAATTTTGTGGGTTCCTGGGCCGACAGGGTCTCCCTACATTTAATCCATAAATAACCCATATTGACATCCGTTACTGTAAAGAATTTAGACATCCATCGCTCTTTGCGTGAATTGTCTCTGTTGTTGTCATTTAGTGGTTTTCTCTAAAGAAGGTTCTATAGTAATTCTGACATCTTATTTTGGACTTGCATTTATGGTGAACAGGAATAATTGGAGAAGTAGCTAAGTTTTGTGCTATTGTTTTGTATGTTCTTTATTGTATTCTTATAACTAATACAATAACAGATATAATAATATAAAAAAAAAGAGTAATTATATAATAAATTCACACAATCTGTATTGCATTCCATCCTGGATATATTGAAGAATACATTTTTATCAAATAACACTGAACATTATACAAAGTTTACTGATATTATTTATCTTGATTTTCATTCCAAGGTGATAAATTACTATCATTTAACATTCATGAAAACCGCAAAACAAATATTATTACAAACGTTTGCACTGGCGAATCGAGTGTAATTTCTCATAGTGAATTCAGTGGTTGCCAGAAAGGTGAAATCATGTTATAAATATAGAGGGATGTCTGAAACTCCGGCAATTCAAGGTGGAATGTATCCCTGGACCATAGATGAAATAACACCCCAAATCTTCCCTGTCAAATCAGTGATTGCCACTCATGCCCCCGGCACTAAAAATGCCACTGGTTTGAGTACTGTGTGTGAAGTTAACAAGGGATTGTCCGCTGACACATGTTGGAGAATCATTGCAATGAGTATGATGACGAAATAACCACTATATATAACCACTAGAAGAAGTTCTTGATAATGGGTACTATTAATCGAACCCACAACGGTTCCTTGCGATCAGGTTCATCAAATGTAGCTGCCGACACCGGCTTTGATTTCTTGAATAGACGAATATGCTCCTGTTGGGAAACAAAAAAAAAAAAAAAAAAAATT